AACTTGTCTGTTCCCCTTCCCCCAATTCCCCAGCGCTGTTCCCATCCCCCCAATTCCCCAATAAAAATCTTTAAAAAAAGAAAAAGAAAAGAAAGCCCTTATATTGGATAATTTGTCCAAAAATGTATTATAATAAAAAGTTATAATGAAGCATTGGTCATGATTCAGAAATATTTCTTGTAAACACATTAGAATCAAATTTAATTTTCTTTAGGTAAGTTAGAAAATTTTTTTACCTTGTTAGAATTGATAAGAGAGACATTTTGCTTGTGATGCTAGTTTTTGCAATATTGATAGAAAGTCTCTGTAGTAAGAATATGATTTCACTGTTAAAAAACTGAAAATAGAAACATGAAAAATATGTGATGCTTACTGTTTTTTCAAGGATCAGATGGGGTTTTTAAGTATTTTCTTTTGATCATATTTTGCATATTTCAGTGAAGCATAAAGTCTTCATCAGTTCAGACTTCAGTTAAAGGGGGATAATACATATTGGCTTCCAAGTTCTTCAGATATTACATTTTAGGGATAATGCATCCAGTTGCCAAGAAAACCTCATAATGTGGGTGCCTGGACCTTTCTCTCTAATGTAAGTGCTCCTGAGCGAAAGGAAAATATAATAGTAAAAAGCACATTTTCTACTTGGACATTTCCCACTTTTTGAAAAATTGTTCTCAAAGCTTACTTGAACAACGAATGTTTAGAATGTGTGATTACATTTCCATAGAAACTGTTATGTATGTAGTAGTGTTATTCCTAGACCCATCTATAAAAAACCTGTTTTAGATTCATAGAGACTATATATATATGTGTGTGTGTGTATAAATGCATATATATATATATATATATATATATATATGTATATGCCTATATTCACATACACATATACACACACATCTCTTTTTTTTAAAGGTTCCTTTTTCCTTTATAAAAGTAATTCATACTCATTTAATAAAATTTGAAAATGCAGAAGAAAATCAGAATTATAAAATGTAATATTAGTTATACTTTAGAGACTGATTATTTTATAAATTCATTTTTTTACCTTAGATACTAGGGTCAACCATTTTCATTTACTTAGAAGTACAGTCCAGCATTCTTCATTCTTTTATTTTTTGAACAGCAGGATATAGAATTTCATTTACTTTCAGACTTTTGGTAGTATTAATAGATAATGCCTGGAATTGATGTATCTTGGTGAGGAATAGAATGAGTACTCTCAGATTTATTTTTGAAGAGAGAAGTTATACTTATTGTGGGATTACTTCTTGGAGAAAGGTATTTATAGTAGAGTTTTCACTCTAGAATGGCAAGACACAGATTAGATAAGAAAGTATTGAAATAAGAGAAATTGCCCATGTCCCATCCTAAAATCAAGCCCTTGTGTTTTCTTGTCATTTTATAAATAATATTTTGATGGCAGAGGACAAACATCTTTTCTATTAGAAAAAGGAGATATAAATGAATTCTATATCAGAGCCCTTCCTCTTAAATGAAAATGTAGGTGGAAAGGTTTATGGGAATACTTTGTTTCTATCTGAATGAAATTTTTGTAGGAAGCCAAATGTGAGAGAGAAAAAAGCTAGAATAGAGCTCAGAGTAAACAATCTATTTGAATCTACAAAAGTAGACATTTAGTTTCATTGAAAGCATCATTTTTATTCTAATAAGTTTTTACCCTCATAATTCCTGTCACCTAATTAGGTCAGTTAGGTGCCAGGGTAAGAATGATGGAATTTTAGACATTGTAACTAGATAATTCATTGAACTTAAATTCATGAGCGAGAACAATCCAGAAAAGTTATTTTTTACACTTTTTATCAAGTTGCTATGAGTCAGATATGCGTTCGTTATATATTTTCTGTTAATATCTTTAGGTTTTAGTTACTTTATTTCATTTGTGAAAGAAATAACCCTTGGTCTAAGCTATGTATTGAAAGTGAAGTGAATTGTGGAGATAACCTATTTCTACTTGCCTTGAAGGCAGAGTAATTACAATTACAAGACTCTATGGAAGCTTATGAATTTTTGAACACATCCTTTTTTCTTTTAAATTTACTTATTATAAACATTGTTAAACACAGCAAAGTAAATGATATACCGTAATGAACTCCATATCCCAGATTCAGTAGTTACCAAGACCTACTTGCTATATCTACCCAAATATTTTTTCTCTTTTGCTTTCTTTTTTGTTTGCACATTTCAAGATAAATCCCACACATTGTGTCATTTTACCCTTCCATATTTAAACATGCATCAATTAAAAATAGCATTTTTCTTACATAATCAAAATCCAGTTATCAATCCCAATAAAATGATCATTTTCCCAAATCATAAACTATAGGTTTATTTGAATTAGCATACAGGGAGGACTCATGAATTGTATTTGGGCATCATGTTTCTTAAATCTCTTGTGCAATTCCTTTGTTGACTTATTTGAAGAAACTAGGTCGATGGTACTGTGAAATGTACAGCATGTCCTCGAATAATGTCATTTCGTTCAAAGTGTTTTCCTTATAATGTTGATGGGATACCATAGGACCTTAATTCTTGGTTATATAATTAGCCTATGGTAAAATTGGTTTCGTTACACATTGCCTCCCTTAAAGTTGCAGAACCTGTTGATGTTAAGTGAGTACTCACTGTACCACATTCTGGATTTGTCTGTGTTCCTTTCTGGCATTATTTATTGCTATACACTTAAGTATTTCATGCTCTCAGCACTTGATTAGATCCAGTGTTTTAGGAAAAATATAGGTGATGCTGTGAACTTTATATTGCAAAACATTAGAAAGTACTAAAAAAACCTGGTTATTCAACAAAGACATATACTCTTTAAGCTCAGATAAATTAAGAGACTTGCTCAGGATCACATACCTAGTTAGTTGTAATTATTAAAGGTGTCTCCAAATCATCATAAAAGGTTAGGAATTTTGTAAGAGAAATAATACTTGAGTAATTGTTAATATTAAGTTAAAGACTTTTGTAGATTGTTTTAAATGTATCTTAGCCTGTTGTTTTTGTCCTAATCATCTGTTTTTTAACTTCAAATGTAATAGAAGAATGAAATTGCCTTTTTAAATAATATTCTATCAAACATAAAGTCATCGAAACTTTGGTTTGAAACTGCACCTGCCCTATATTATGAACTTATGTATAACTGATCTTTGCTCCCTCCTTCTCACTCAAGAGTATTGATGAAATCTCCATCTTCAGCACTACACCCACCTCAGAAGTACAAAGATAGAGGAATTTTACATCCTAAACGAAGCACTGAAGACCGATCAGATCAATCTTCTGTGAAATCTACAGACAGCAGTAGTTACCCAAGTCCTTGTGCTAGTCCTTCTCCTCCATCCTCAGGAAAGGTAGAGTATCTAAAAGTCTGTGTAGCAAGGAACAGATTTGTAGCATATCTATCTAAAATTGCATCTTTAAACAAAATTATAAACCAGTTCTTTTCAGTTACTAGTTGTGGCCTCTGTTATAGATATATATTGAAGCTGGCAAACTTGAGTCACCTTGAGTAAGTTTTTTAGTTTTTCCTGCATGCCAAATGTTTCTAGTTATTACCATCTTGGGGTGCTTTAAAACTAACAGATCATTCACTGATGGCATGTAGCTAGAAAGATCGTTATTTCCATTCTATATCTTTAGAAGTATTTTTTTAAATGAAATAACAAGATTTTATTTATTTTGGTTTATAATTTCATGATTGAAAACAATAGTTTCTTTCAATTGTTAATTGATTTCTTCAATTCATTGGTTATATTATAAAACGACAAGGTGAGGTTAGGAAGATAGGAAATGTTGATAGGGAGTTGAGAACTACAAAAATTTATAATATGAATGATTTAAAATGTTTAGAATATGTTTACATTTACTTCCCTGTATTCTTAGTACCTGAGTAAGTATTTGATTGGGGTTTTTTAGCTGTATGTTGTATTGTGAAAATGTGTGTTGAAACACATTAGATAAGAGGAAAAGAAATGTTTTTGCAGATTTGCATTCTTAGGTTTTAGGTTTTTTCTTTTTAAATACCTTTTTTAAGGTATAATTTACACACAACAAAATTAATTTAAACTGTACAAGTCAGTGAATTTGGCAAATGTATATAATCATGTAACCATACCACAGTCATGTACACAACATTCCCATTTGCACTCACCTCCGGCTTCTGGCAACCACTGAACTACTCTCTGTCCCTAGAGTTTTGCTTTTTCTGGTATTTTCTGTAAATGGAATCATGTATGTTGCTTTTTGTGACTGGCTTATTTCACTTTTAAAATTCACCCATATTTTTGAGTGTATTGTTAATCTGTGAGTTCCTTTTGCTCCGTATTCTTGACAATACTTGGTATTATTAGTCTTTTTAATTTTAGCCATTCCAGTGGGTACATAGTGACATCCTATTGTAGTTTTAATTTGCTTTTCCCATTGACTAATGATGTTGAGCATCTTTTCATGTTCTTATCTGCTACCCCTGCATCTTCTTTGGTGAAGTATCTGTTAAATTTTTGTTCACATTTTTTGGGTGGTTTATTGGTTGTTTGTCTTTTTTTACTTAATAGTAAGAGTTTTTAGGATACAAGTCTTAATTATGTATATTTTGCAAATTTTTTTCTAATACTCTGTGCTTACATTTTTATTTTCTTAAGTGTCTTTTGAAGAACAAGTGTTTTTAATTTCGATGAAGTTCATTTAACTCTATTTTGGTTTCATCTGTTTTTTTCTATTATGGTTCATGTTTTTTGTGCCCTAAGAAATGTTTATCTAACCCAAGATTACAAAGGTTTTCTCCTATGTTTTCTTTTAGAAATTTTATGGTTGGAGCTCTTAACATTTAGGTATAAGATGTATTTCGATTTAAATTTTTATTTATAGTATGGGTAGGTCAGAGATCATTTTTTGGCATTTGCCTATACAGTCGTTTCAGCACCACTTGTTGAAAAGATTATCCTTTTTCAATTGAATTACCTTGGCACTTTTGTCAAAAATTGATTCATCCTAGATAATGTGGTCTGTTTATCAGACTCTATTCTGTTTCATTAATCTATTTCTCTTTTGCCAATGCTACAGTGACTTGATTACAGTAGCTTTATAGTAACTTTATAGTAAATCTTTGAAATCAGTTAATATTTTTTCTCCAAATCTGTTCTTTTTCAAAATGTTTTTGGCTATACTAGTCCTTTGTACTTTCATATAAACTAGAAAAAGCTTGTCAATTTCTACACAAAACATTTTTGGTATTTTGAGTGGAATTGCATTGAATCAGTAGATCAGTTTGAAGAAAACTGAGAATTTAACAATTTTTAATCTTCCATCCATAAGAATTGTGTATATTTGTATTTATTTAGAAATTCTTTAATTTCTCTCAACAGTGTTTTGTAAATTTCAGAGTTTAGATATTACACATTTTTTGTTACATTTATCCCTAAGAATTTTATATTTTTGATGCTGTTTTTAAATTTTTAATTTCCAGTTCTTCATTGTTAGCATGTAAAAATACATTTGATTTTTGTATATTTATCCTCTATAACATGATCTTACTTCACTTATTAATTCTATTATCTTTTTTTGTAGATTTTTCAAGATTTTTCTCCATGGATAATCATGCCATCTGTTAATAAAGATAGTTTTACATTCTAATATGAATTATATTTATTTCTTTTCTTGCCTTATGTCTCCGGCTAGAATTTCCAATAAAATGTTTAATAAAAGTGTTGAGAGCAGACATATTTGCCTTTCTTAGAGGAAAAGAAAGCCTTAATTAAGTCTTTCAGCATTTAGCATATTTAACATGATATAACTGTGGGACTTTTCTTTTTGGGTCTAGATTGCTGAGTTGCTGAGAGGGTTTATTATGAATAACTATTGAATTACGTTCAGTCCTTTTTTTATATACAATTATTGAAGTAACACAGTTTTTTTTTTTGGTAGGGGATGATGTCACTGATTGATTTTTTAATGTTTGTACCTCACTTGGTCATGATGTATTATCCTTTTTAATATTGCCAGATTTAATTTGGTTCAATCAAAATTTTGTTAAATGGGGGATCTTTGTTCATGAGGGATCTTCTGTAATTCTCTTTTCTTGTGTTATCTTTCTGTGGTTTGGTATTAGGGTAATGCTGACCTCATAAGATTAGTTGGAAAATGTACCTCCACTTCAGTTTTTTGGAAGAGATGTGTAGAACTGGTATTTCTAACTTAAATGTTTGGTAGAATTCATTAGTGAAGCCATTTTTAGCTTTCCCTGCTGTATCTTGAATCAGTATTATGCCACTTTGCGTGTAGCTTGAGAATTTTGCAACAGTGTACTTTTATTTTACCCTTCAGTCCTTTGTATTATTGGTTTTGTACATTTTATTTCTACATATGTTATAAATGCCACACTACTTTATTTTTTACTTACATAGCTAATTATCAATTAGCTTGTACCAGAAGTCAGAAAAATGGCTTATATATTTCCTCAATATTCACTATTTCTTTTGCCCTTTATTCTTTTGTTTTATATGAATTCCTATCTTGGATCATATACTTTCTGTCTGAAAACCTTTATATGACATTTCTTCTAGTATAGATCTGAAAATGAAGTCTTTAAGCTTTTGTCTGGAAGGTCTTTTTCACTTTTATTTTTGCAAGGTATTTTTATTGTATAATTCTAGATTGATAGTGGTTTTCTTTCATTGCTATAAAGAAGTCACTCTCATAACCTTTTGGTTTACATAGTTTCTGATGGGACATTTACTACCGCTCTTACCTCTGTTTTTCTGTATATAATGTATCCTTTTTTCTTCTAGTTGTTTTTAAGATTTTCTTTTTGCCACTTGTTTACAGCAGTTTGATTTTGATATGACTTGGGCTGGTTTTCTTTATATTTCTTCTTCAATCTGGGTATTTATAGTTTCCATCAATTTGGGAAAATTTAAGAACACTATTTTTTCTCATTGCTTTTTTTATATCTCACCTCTTCCCCTTTCTTTCTGGGACTCTGGACACACAAATCTAGGACCACTTGATATTGTTCCACAGGTCACTGATGCTTTTTGTTTTTTTTAGTTTTTGCCTCTTTTTCTCATTTGAGATAGTTTCTATTGCTATATCTTTAAGTTCATATAAAAATATTTTTATGTGTAATGTCTACTGTGCATTCTTTCTAGTGTATTTTCACTTCAAATATTTTATTTTCATCTCCAGAGTGCCCTTTCGGTCTTTAAAAAAAATACCTTCCTTTTATCCTCTTGTGTTCATGATTCCTTTACTTTCTTAAACATAGTGAGTATATTTATAATAGTTGCTTTAACATTCTTGTCTCCTAATTGTATCATCTCTGAGTCTCTTCCATTGATTTTTTTTTTCTGGTCATAGATCATATTCTCCTACTTCTTTGCATTCCTTATAATTTTGTTTGGATGCTTGGTTTTGTATTCCTTTAATGTTAGACATCCTTCTTGTACACAGTTAAGTTAGTTGCTATCTGTTTAATCCTTTCAAGATTTACTTTTAAGCATTGTTAGGGTGGGTCAGGAGCAGTTTTTATCTGGTACTAATTTAGTTCCAATATTAAGGCATGATTTTTCCTGTGGGCTAATGCCTTATGTATTACAAATTCTTCCCATTCTGGCTAGGGATAGCATGGAATATCCTCAACCATGTGTGAGCTCTGGGAATTGTTTGGTCTACTGCTTTTCTTTGGGTCTTTTCCTGGCCTCAGGTCATTTATTCTCATCATTTGCAGGGTCAGTACTTAGCCAAAAACTTGTGAGGACCCTTCTGCAGTTCCCCAGGAGCTCTTTCCGTGCATCTCCCTTCTATCTAATACAGTGCTATGCAAATTCTAGCTACCTTGGTCAACCTCTGCAGTTCAGCGAGACCACTAGTTTCTGTTTGTTTCTTTTCCCTACACTGTCACCTGGAAACTGTATCCAGGCAGTCAGCTAGAGCAATTGTTGTTTTGTTTTCAGACTTTGAAGTTTATTAAAATATTTTCTGAACGTACATTTGGAATATAAATCATAGTTGGTAATCCAGGATTCTTTCTTGATAAGGGATTTTGAGTGCTCTGAAATTGAGTACTTAGTTTAGCTCTTTAATTTCTTTTTGATTGAGCCTTTGTAGGTTTTCAGGAATGATAGAGCAATTTGTATTAGTTGAATATTTGGTAAAATATTTTAGTTTATATGTTTATGAAGATGTTATTTAATGGAGCCTATTGATTTCGAAAGGTCAAATTACCTTTCAAGAACTTATGCATTCTTTTATAGGGCTCAAAATCTCCTTCACCAAGACCAAACATGCCAATTCGATACTTCATAATGAAGAGTAGCAATTTGAGAAACCTTGAAATTTCTCAACAGAAGGGTATCTGGTCTACAACCCCTAGTAATGAGAGGAAGCTAAATCGAGCTTTTTGGGAAAGCAGCATGGTTTACTTGGTATTTTCTGTTCAAGGATCTGGACATTTCCAGGTGAGCCATCCTGAAACAATAAAATGGAGTTGTTCTAAAATGGGGCTGCAGTTTAGACCAAAGAGATAAAAACAAAATAAAAACAAACAAACAAAAAACTCTGGCTTTTTATTGCATCAGAATGCAAGAATTCATTTTGCTTGTCTGAGAATGAGGAATATATTGTACCTCTTAAAGGGAATGATAAATAGGGATCCCTCAGTTTTTGCCTTTTCTCACTAAAGCCTCTCCAGATAAACAATTTCTCTTTCTGAAGACAACTTTAGATTTACCATTTCTCAGGTGGATTGAAAATAACAAAAAGCTTGACTTTTGGTAAAATGTTTGTTTAAATAGGCTGAGGACGAAATGCCCATCAATAGATGATTGGATAAAGAAATTGTGGTACATTTATACAATGGAGTATTACTCTGCTATAAAGAGGCATGAAATCTTACCATTTGCAACAACATAGCTGGACCTAGAGAATATTATGCTAAGTGAAATAAGTCAGACTGAGAAAGACAAATACCGTATGATCTCACTTACATGTGGAATCTAAAGAACAGAATAAACAAGCAAACAAAACAGAAATAGACTCAGAGATGCAGAGGAAAAAACTGATGGTTGCTAGGTGGGAGGGGGGTTTGGGGGGTGAGGGAGGTGAAAAGATTAGAAAGTACAAATTGGTAGTCACAGAATAGTCACAGGTATATGAAATACAGTATGGGGAATATAATCAATAATGTTGTAAAGATCTTGTAGGATGCCACTAGACTGACTTATCGAGGGGATCACTTCATAAATTGTTTAGATGCCTGACCACTGCACTGTACACCTGAAGCTGAAGTAGAATAATATTGGATGTCAACTATAATTAAATATATGTGTGTGTGTGTGTGTATATATATATATATATATGTATATACATGTATGTATATACATACACACACACACAGGCACACACAGAGGATGCCAAAAACATGTATACACATTTTAAGAAATTATTAAAATTGTAATACTGTATTAAATTGTAATAATATATATCGATAACAAAAGATGAATACAAGTCACGAATACACATTTTTTTGGCACCCACGGTATATATAGTCACAGGATGTAAAGTACAGCATAGGGAATATAGTCAGTGGTACTGTAATAGCTATATACAATGTCAGAGGGGTAGTAGACTTGGGGGTGGGGTGGTTATCACATTATGCGGGGTGTAAATGTCTAATCATTATGTTGTTTTATATACCTGAAATGAATATAATAAAAAAAAAAATAGGCTGAGGAAGTTAGTATTGACAAGAAACATTGTGTTTTTTAAACTCATCTTGACTTGATGTATATCTGAATTTACAAAATAATGAATTTATTTTTTGATATCATAATTTTTGGAAGTAAAAACTTAGAGGTTAGATTGTACCCATTTATCATGGAATAAATGTGGATTTTGAACAATTGGTAAGTTATTTAGAAAATATCTGTTCATATTTAAAATTATGTTAGAAGGGTGGACTTGATCTTATCTCTTAAATTTGCTAATATATCTTTTTATAAAAAACACTTAATAAGTAGCTTACTTTTTGTTTTTGTTAGCTATGTATTATTTTTATATTATGTTTTTATGTTAAAATTAAAAAACAAACAAACAGTGCTTTACCAGATAAATTGAATTCAGACATTTTAATATCACCCTCACTTTCACCCTTCACCCTCATTTTACCCACAGGGATTTGCTAGGATGTCCTCTGAGATAGGAAAGGAGAAGAGCCAGGACTGGGGCTCCGCTGGACTCGGAGGAGTATTTAAAGTGGAGTGGATACGAAAAGAAAGTCTTCCCTTTCAATTTGCACACCATTTACTCAATCCTTGGAATGATAACAAGAAAGTCCAGATAAGCAGAGATGGGCAGGTATACAATGGCAATTAATATTTTTCTTCTACTTTTCTTCTTATTTTTTTTTTGCTGCTATTCAGTGATTTGTTTGAGGAGTAAATATAAGAATACATGTTATATTTTCCACATACACTTGAGAGATAGTGGTTCAGATTTGTAAAAGAGCTAATAAAACCTACTTGCAAATGTCTCTGACAGAGCTCATTGCTTGTTTAACATTCTGTAAATTTGGCTTCTCTCTGTCATTGCGTATATAAAATTTTTCTTAAGTTACTTCATGGAGGCTCCTATTGTCTATCTAGTTAGTAAACCAAGGTATGATCAAATTCAAGTGTAATTCTGAAGTAATTTCACTAAAGTCTAAGGATAATAATATCTAACTTCTTTATGGCTTTAATTATGTAACATAAATAATAACCTTTTTATATTTGTGTGGCTTGTTTTATTTTTATTATGTTTTGCTTTGTCTTCATGATGCTGCCAACATGCATTTTAAACTAGTTAGGGTGATGGGAATTAACATATATATGGACTATTGTCCTAGCTGCTTTATATGAGGCTATTTAATTTAATGCATATAATGAGTTATTAGCCCAATTTTATGTAGGATAAAATAGACTTAGAGAAATAAGCCTTGCCTGAGGTCACACAGCTGAAAATTTAATTGGACCAGTGTAACTCACTTCAGATCACCATATGAAGAGTGTTGAGATTCTTTTTAAATGCACATCATGTCACAAGAGGACAATAAATGCTATTCTTTTCAGGTGTATAAGAATATTTTCATTTTTATTGTATAATAATTATTTTGAAATCTAATACCTAAAATAAAAATATTATATAGTCACTAAGATAGTTTCTTAAGAAAAACAATAAAAAACTCAAAATATCTAATATGCTAAGTTTCACAGTAAACCTTTTGAAGTTCAAGCTGAGTGCTTTTGCTAAATCTCCATTAGAAACAATATTCATTATTTCCAGATACAAAAAAAATTATAAAAACTCCATGGAAACAAACCTCTTACCAAGTTGTCACAGATAGTTACGGTGTTTGCAGGTTAACTGCAATCTTGAAGTCTGGAAGTCACATCCATAAATCTTTTTTTTATTTATTTTTTATTTTTTTTATTATGAAATACAAATTTTTTAGAATTAGTTTCAGCGGAAGTCATCAAGACCACTGCTCGCATCCATAAATCTTAATGCAAAGTATTGGAGTAATGCATGCCATATGATTTTAGCATGTTCTGGTAGAAAAATGAAATTTAAAGTGATTTTTTTACAGTTTTATCAGTGTAGGTATTGGTGATTTAAAAAAACTCAATTTAGTTCTTTTTATGTTCATTCTGACTTTTGATTTATCTAGGAACTAGAACCTCAGGTTGGAGAACAGTTGCTCCAGTTATGGGAACGCCTTCCATTGGGAGAAAAAACCACAACTGATTGACTGACACTCAGGTTATATCATACTTTGACTTTGAGTACTGGCACTATTTGTGATCATTAAGAATATCTTTCAGGCTATTTCTCTTTTTTTTTTTTTCTTTTTTTAAAAATACCTTCCTGGAACTCTTAGCTATAGAAAAACATCATGCCTTTTTATAACCACTGAATGCACTGACTTCTAAAAACTTAGATGGGGTGTGTTATGAATGGGCTTTTCTGGTTTAGAGTGTTGCTTTAGAACCACCATCTTCATATAAAAAAGAAAAGGATAATTTTAATTTTTATAGTTATCATAGGGAATGATTATGTAAAGTTTGTTAATGGTATGTTTATAATTGAATAAAATAGTAGTAGTTTTATTATTTGACACCACAGCAGTTATTTTAAATATACTTAATTTGAAGTTGAGCATTTCATTTGTTTAAAACACTGAATTATAATTTTTATTGATGATTTTTTTAATGCAAAGTAAATTGTTACCTTTAAGAAAGGCCTGAACATATCAGTACATCTGAACACCATTTTAGAGAGTCAACTCTTAAGATTTATCATTAAAATACAAACAAGCAAATGGAAGCAAACAACCAAATTAAAAAAAATGTTTCTTTTAAAATAGTGTGTGCTGATTAAGGACAATTTATTCTACCATTCTAAACCTGAGATATGGTAAGAAAACAAAAGGAGGAATGTTCTTTTTCTGCCGTTATGAATGAAATGCAGTAAAACCTGAAGAAAGGCAGAGTTCCTGCCTGTCTGTGTTCAGATGCAATTCAGTGCTTAGTTTTCTTCTTGGTTCAGCCTCTTTTAACCTGATGGGTACCATACCCCTTTTTTTCTCCCGTGTTACAACCTTCACACATATCTTATATGAGCATAGTGGTCTCTTTGTTATGCTTATGTTTTTGGATATGGTTTCCCTTTTTTTTGCATTTATGGTTTAATAAATGGTGAAGTATTGTTTTGTAAACCTATGTTAGTGCCAACTGTCCACTTCTTTGCCATTTCAGAATTATTTGGTTTGAACTCTTTACCACCATTGTCTATAAAATTTCCTAAAAGTCTTTTTACAGGGAAATAGAGGTAGGGGGAAAAAGAAAGCACTGTCTTGGTTACTGAGCTCTAAAATAGAACAGGTTTGACAGCACTTCTCATGATACATTTGGGTGATTTCTATGTAACAAAAAAACAACATGAATTTAATTTAAAGACAAAAAGAAAACTCTAAGTCCTCTTCTGTATTTGAGAACAAAGAAGTGAAAATCATAGGTCAACATAAAATCTTGAGAACCCTTCTACTTCTCTGGGATAGCACTGTATTTTGTTGCATTAGTTCAGAGTGTCAGCTGTGATTTTTGCCTATATTTGTAGTTATTGGGTTTTTAAATATTTGTTCCTTTGTTTTATACTTTGAGACATACCAATAAATTGAGACTATATGAATTATGTTCCACTGTATGTGCATTACAATTTTTTTCCTATTAGTTCAACTTGTGTTTCTTTGATAATGTACACATTTGTTTAGGTATATATTTAGCAGTTCATGATGTTCTAAATTTGGAAGTTAAGGACTTTTAAAAAATAAAACTTGTTTTAAATGCTATCTGTTTTCTAATATCTAACACTGTATGTAAATGATGAGTTTGTTGATATTTAAAATGAATACAATTTGAATGTAATTAAAAAGCTGTTTTTGGAAGAGATGAAATTTAAATATACTTATTAAATGGAATTCATTAAGTTATTTATATCTTGTTATTTCTGATACTATATAATAGGACTAAGTTAGCAATGCTCAGTAATATCCTTTGAGAAGTTAATGATTTTGAAGCACCATGAAGAACACTAAATGGATATAGAAAGTGATGGTTTCATATCTGTACCTCCTCCTTGAAAAAAATTGCCTTAGAATGATAGATAGATGTGAAAAAAATCTCATGACACGTTTTAATATAATCATTTGAATATTAATAAAATATGCAGTCATCTACCTTCTGTTCTCAGTCAGAAAACTTCATTATGCCATTGTATCCACTGAACTACCCAGCCTCACTCTATTAATTACAGCAAAGATAGGCAATGAGAAAAAACTAATCTCAGATGAATATTGCAAGAAAAGGCATATTCATTTAAAAATTTGTCCTCAGAGAGTAATTCTTCACCATTTAAAACCTTATATCCTGAAACAGAGAAAGTCTTAAGGAGTAAGTCAATAAGCTGCATCCCTGAATCAACACCAGGGCAAAAATATTGAATCTGAATATGTAACTCACAAGTGACCACACATTCTAGTCTGAGTAAACCTCCCATAATACAGATCCTCCCTGTGCTCCAAAACTCTCCACAATTCTACTCTACCCAAAGAACCATAAAGTGTCAAGATGCCCAAGGCCACTGGATGCACCTTGGTCTTTTCAGCCAAATGTGAAATTTCCACTTGGCAGTCTAATAAAATCTCAAACTCTGCATAGTCAGAATTGAACTACAATTGTTTCCCCACATCCTGTTCCAACAAAGCTGTCTGCCCCTTTTTCAGTTGATGTCAGTTCCATTATTTTGGTTGCTCAGGCCAGAAAGCTTGGAATCATCTTGATGCCTATCTTTCTTTCAGTCCAATCCATCAGCCCAGACCAAGTTTTCTTTGGTCTACCTTCAGAATATTTCTAGACGCCAGCTGTTCTCACCACAACTGTCACAACCATTCTAAAGTGAGATACCATCTTTCTCTCTTGGGCTATTGAGATGGCTTCCTAAGATGTCTTCCCTCTTCTACCTCTCCCTGCTGCCATGAATTGGTTTTCAACACAGAAATCAGTGATTCTTTTAAAACATTAAATCAGTTAATATTACTTTGCTGCTCAAAACCCTCCAGTGGCTCCCCGTTTCACTGAAAAGCCAAAGTCCTTATAATGGCAAAAACACCTTACATGATCTGGTCCCCCATTATATCTCTAAACTAGCCTCTACTCATTTCACTTTAGCCACATTTACCTTCTCACTATTTCTTCAATATAGCAGGCTCATTCCAGCCTTAGAGACTTTTTTAAGCTGTTCCCTCTGCCTGGAATGCTCTTCTCAGGATACCTGTGTGGCCAACTATTTGTTACCCATGTAGTGTTAGGTTTACTGTAAAGTTGTCTTTAAAATTTATTTAACTTTTATAAATAAGATACATTAAATTAACTTTTAAAAAAGATATACAGCTCTGTGAATTTTGACACATACAGATTTATGTAACTTTTGCCACAATCAGGATATTTTCCCATCATCCTCCAAATTCCCTCATGCTATCCCTTTATAGTTATATCCTCCGCGTCCCCCTAACCCCTGACAGCCATTGATTTATTCTCTGACATTCTAGTTTGCTCCTTTTGAGAATATCATATAAATAGAATCATACAGTATGTAACATTTTGGGACTGACTTCTTTCAGCATAGTGCCTTAAAAATTGATCCAAGTTGTCATGTATATCACATTTCTGTTCTTATGGTCAAGATGGCAGAATAGGTAAACACTGTTCTCAGCTCCTCCCATGACTGCATCAGAATTACAATTAAATTATGGAACAGCCATCATTGAGAACCACCTGAAAACTAGCTGAACAGAAGTCCTATCACTAAGGATATAAAGAAGAAGCCACGTCGAGACTGGTAGGAGGGACAGAGACAAGGAATTGACAATTCCCACACCCACGTGAGGCAATTAAGAATTGTGAGGGATATTTCAGCTGTGGGGGTAATAACTCAGAACTTCAACAAAGAGATAGGAACCATAAAAATTGAGATAGAAAACATAAAAAATAAAAAATACAATAATTAAAATGACTCATAAGGATTAGATGAAGCAGAGGATTGAATCAGCGATCTGGAAGACAAAGTAGTGGAAAACACCAAATTGGAACAGCAGAAAGAAGAAAAGAACCCCCAAAATGAGATAGTTTAAGAGACCCAAAGCAACAGCAAGCGTAACAACATTTGCATCAGAGGGGTACCAGAGGCTAAAGAGGGAGAGCAAGGAATTGAAAACCTATTTGAAGAAATAATGATGGAAAACTTCCCTAAACTGATGAGGGAACTAGACATACAGGTCCAGGAAGCATAGAGATTCCCAAACAAGATGAATTCAAAGAGGCAGACACCAAGATACATAGTAATTAAAATGCCAAAGGTTAAAGACAGAATCTTAAAGGCAGCAAGAGAAAAGCAGTTAGTTACATAAAAGGGAGCTCCCATACGACTATCAATTGATTTCTCAACAGAAACTGCAGACCAGAAGGGATTGGCATGAAATATTCAAAGGCATGAACTATTTAAAGTAATGAAAGGAAGAAACCTATGACCAATATTGCTCTACCCAGCAAAGTTATCATTTAGAATTGAAGGAGAAATAAAGAGCTTCCTAGACAAGAAAAAGATAAAGGAGTTCATCACCACCAAACCAGTATTACAAGAACAGTTAAAGCGACTTCTTTAAGAAGAAAATAAAATATAGAAAATATGAATAAGGAAATCTAAGAAAGAAAAGATTCTCACTGATAAAGACAAACACTTAATAAAAGCAGTGGATCAATCAAGTATAAAGCTAGTATAAAGGTTAAAAGACAAAAGTAAGAAGATCATGTTAGTTACAATAAATTAAGGGATACATACACAAAAGAAATAAAAATAATGACAAAAACATAAATGTGGAGGTGGTGAGTAAAAATTGTAGTGAGTTTAGAATGTGTTAAAATTTAAGCAACCATCAACTTAACATAGACTGCTATAAACATAGCTTGTATATATGAACCACATGGTAACCACAAACCAAAACTCTATAAGAAATATAAAAGAAATAAAAAGAAAGGAATTCAAACATAACATTATAGAAAGTCATCAATATACAAAAGAGAAGAGCAAGAGATTAAGAAAGGAACAGAGAACTACAAATACAATTTGTAACTAGAAAACAATTAATAAAATGGCTATAACTACATACTTATCTATAAATACTTTAAAAGTAAATGAAATAAATGCTCAAATCAAAAGACATAGGATGGCTGAATGGATTAAACAAACAAACAAACAAACAAACAAGACCTGTGCATATGCTACCTGCAAGAGACCCACTTCAGATCAAAAGACACACAGAAACTGAAAGTAAAGGTATGGAAAATATGTTTTATGCAAATGCAAATGAAAATAAAGCTAGAATAGCAATACTTATGTTAGACAATATAGACTTTAAAACAAAGGCTATCACAAGAGACAAACAAGGGCATTTTATAGTGATAAAGAGATCAATTCACAAGAGTATATAACTCTTGTAAACATCTATGCACCCAACATAGGAGTCCCTAAATATATAAAGAGAATATTGACAGACATAAAGAGAGAGATTGACAGTAATACAGAAATAACAGGGGACTTTCACACCCCATTGACATCAATGTATAGATTATCCAGACAAAAAATCAACAAGGAAACAGTGGCCTTAAATGACACATGAGACCAGATGGATTTATAATTTTAGAACATTACACCTGAAAACGGCAGAGTATACATTCTCTTCAAGTGCACATGTAACATTTTCCTGGATAGACTACATGTTAGGCCACAAAACAAGTCTCAATACATTTAAGAGGATTGAAATCCTATCAAACATCTTCTCCAATCACAATGGTATAAAACTAGAAATTAGTTACAAGAAGAAACTTGAAAAACACACAAACACATGGAAGCTAAATAACATGCTACTGAACAATGAATGGGTTAACCATGAGATCCAGAAAAATCAGAAGATACCTTGAGACAAATGAAAATGAAAACACAAGGGTCCAAAAATCTGTGGGACACAACCAAAGCAGTTGTAAGGGAAATTCATAGTGATAACAGGCTTCCCTTAACAAACAAGAAAAGTCTCAATCTAATCTTATATCTAAAGGAACTAGAAAAAGAATAACAAATAAAGCCCAAAGTGAGCAGAAGGAAGGAAATAATAAAGATCAGAGCAGAAATAAATGAAATAGAGTCTAAAAAACAATAGAAAAGATCAGTGTAACCAAGAGCTGCTTGTTTGAAAGGATAAACCAAATTGATAAACCTTTAGCCAGATTCATCAAGAAAAAAAGAGAGAGCCCAAATAAATAAAACCAGAAATGAAAGAGGAGAGGTGACAATAGGCACCACATATCTGCCTTCTTCTGCTCTGTCCACAACTATACACTCCTTGGAGGTACAAAATCTTTCAATTTTTATATGCTAAGTATCTTGCAGAGTGCCTAGTACGCATTTAATAAATATTTAAGAAATCACTGAGAGGGCTGGCCGAGTGGCGCGTTGGTTAAGAGCTGGCTTGGGAGCACCAGCTCTGAGCAGCAGGGCCCCAGTTCGGATCCCACATTGAGGGCCAGTGATGCTGGCCCTCTACAGCTAAGATGATGAACAGCTTGACTTGGAGCTGGGCT